CAGGTGAGTTCGGTTGTGAGAACTAGGGCTGAACGATTTCGGAAAATAATCGAATTGTGATTTTTTTTTTTTATACCAATATTGCGATTTTGATTTAATATGCAATTATTTTTTAAAGCTCTTTATGTTCTGTATTATTCAACAAAGACAAGCTATAAATCATTGTATAGTATGACCAACACACTATTAGATAGATTAAACATAAATGTTCTTTTCTGCAGGCCAGGCCTATGTTACGATGAAATTAGGTGATGCATGAAGATATGAATGACATTTTTATTTAACAACTACAATCACAGTATACTGACTGAATTTCCAACTTTGTAAGTACGTAATAATTATGTCAACATAAAGCAAATTTTTAAAAAAGTAGGTTGCAGAAATATAAAAACAGATCTGTTGCTTTAGCACACTACTTTAGGTAATTCAGTCACTGTAATAAACATGTGTAAACATGTGCACTGCACTAAACACTGTCTGTTAACTTTAGACCAGTGCTTCTCAAACTTTTTTGGTCGCGCCCCCCTTTAAACCTATAAAAACAATCTGGCAAAATACAGTAGAACCCATTATAATCAGTGACGCTGTCTACACTAGATGCGGCGCGACACGACACGACAAAACCCGACATTAAACTGATGCCTTGTTCTATTTATGACGTACTGACACAAAGTTCAAATGATTTGCAATGGTAGCGTGCAGTATAGACACGGTGAGTGAAGCCGAGAGCGAGAAATGCCTCGTCATAGTTTCTGCATTTAGCTTGTGAATGACCAGCAGCTGCCTGGGTCTGTGCGACTTCATCTATAGCTTTTCTCTTCGCTTTCACAAACCGATCCTTCTCCCTTTCTAAGTTACGTCCTTTGGCTGTTTACCGTTTTATTTATTTTATTTTTCTGCTGATGGCCCGCACTCGACTTGAAGCAGAGCTACTTAGACCGATGGGTGTGTGTCATTAAAGCACTGCGAGAGCTATAAGAGAGCGGACGTCTCCTTATGCTTTCTCTCGCCGTACTTTGATGTCGATCAATCTTCAAGTGGAACACACGTCTTTACTCTCGCCTGTCACGTGACCGAGTGTAATCGCAGTCTCTGCGATTGAAAAATCACATTTTTCATATCGTGATATTATCGCAAATGCAATTAATCGTTCAGCCCTAGTGAGAACAAACTACAGACCCTGAACAAATACTAGTTTTCTGTCCATATGCCATCAGTCCAGTGTGTGTCTGTCAGCACGGCATGCTGGAAGGTGTGTGTGTGTGTGTGTGTGTGTTCCTGTGGCCGTCAGTCGTTCCTCATGATTATTCATGGAAAGCTGCTGTGTTGCAGTGCTATACATGACAGCAGATCAAACCACCAGCTCTCTCGCTGGTTCAGTTCATCAGTTTTACACTTTTACACTGAAACCGGAATATAACCTCATAGAAAATTCATTTATTTATTACATTTGTTTTTAAATGCATGTTATAGATCTTACTGTGAACAGTTCATCCGTGCATGTGTTTCCTTTTTTAGAAATGCGTTTGACCTTGTAATGTTAATCAGAACGTGATAACTGATCTTCTCTCGGGTGACATGCAGGATTTCTCTAGTCATTCGGTGATCTTAACCACGCCTACATCTCAGCATCCAATCAACAACATTTATTACATGCATAATCTAATCAAAGTTCCTCTTGTATGCACATCACGATACAGAAGAAAAGATCTGCTGCTACTTCAGTTTCATCATGACTTTAGGGTCATTTATTGGCATGACAAATAATTTTATGTTCATATTGTAAAACATGTCTGTTACTGTGTGCAATTAAAACATGAAGATAATAGTATGAAATAACAAAACGGAAAAAAGATGGTGTTATTGACATGGAAGTGTGAAGTAGCTGGCACTGAAGAATGCATTGGGTGAAGTAATTCAAGTTCAAGCAAATGAAAGTAATTATAATAGTGAATTACATGTAAGTGCATTAATAAACTGTGCTGGAGACACAGACGGGGATCTCTCCTATTGTGACAGACAGACACATGTGTAGCAGATGTCAAACAGTACCCTCGGAACAGAAGCACGACCACACATGGATGAGATGAGTGATGGAATTTATTCCCCTTTAAAGAAGAGTAGTATGAGGCAAAATTAGTACAAACACACCGATAGGCCTACTCTCTCACTCCTGCATGGAAAGACACACGTGAGGATGAAGTGCTAAAACATCTCACGATTAAAAGCGTCACTTTCAAAGAGAATTCACCAATTACACAGATACACGTCATAAAATACATATTAACAACGTTAACACAATATACACCGTGATAAAGTCACAAAAGAGAGCAAATGGGACATATATATATATACACATATATGAGAGAGCGAAAGATACCCGTGCTTCCCGTCTGCATTCACAGTGAGACTGAGCGCGAATGCTTAAAGGAGAAGCGATACCTCTTCCTAAGGTGAGCCACTAATTAAGACCCCACCTACAACAATTGGTAGGAACTCC